CGTTGCGATAGATCGATAAATATTCAGCCATTTGTCCATCTATCCCTAAAATCATGCATTTAGCCATACAATCATCGATCTATCTGTCCATCATCTATTCACCCTTCCATCCATTTCTATGAAAAAAGGATCGTTGATCAGAGGAATAGCTCAGCTGAATCGGCAACTTGATCTCCAGTAATATGTGCGTCCTACCTGAAGTTCTCCTTTGTGCATTTTTAAAGTTGCATCGGTGTGGTACTCAACTTGATTGAATTTTAAATAGGTACATTTTAAACCGTAACCTCAGCAAGGTTCGACCAGAAATAAATAGAGCTTATTATTTTGACTTTGATTCCTAAAGTTAATTGACTTCTACTGAAGAGATTTCTGATTCTGTACAATTTATAGCTCTGAATAAAAGATCATTCAAGTGCACTCAAGGGTATTTCTTGTACCTAATGACGAATCAGCTGCGTTGATTTGGTCCTCAGATCAGACAAATGGACTATAAAATATATATACTTATCCCCACAATCTGTTAACATACATGTAACACAAGGCTTGTAAAGTTTTTTATATAAAGTTCCTGTAACAGTTGATCAAATTGTTCTTATTTCTCACATACATATTCATACATCCACATAATAACAGACTGCAGCATTAGCACTCTATTCACATTAGTAGCTTTGAATTTAGATCAACAAAGGTTCTTGTTTACACAACATGAGTCACAAACAAAAAGGAAGAAAAACTTTATCATTATTAGAAGCGTATTTTTTGTCTTGTACTTCTTGCAAGATAAAATATGGCACATAGTAATGAGTCAGTCAATGCATGAATAGGAGGAGGCAAAGTCAACCCGTTCTATCTCCGTCTTGAGGGAAAGGTTCAGCCTTTTCTCTGTTCTTTAAGTCTTTTAAATAATTGTCCCTTTTTTCACCTGATGGAACTGGAGCCGATGAAAGCATAAACAAAGAACAATGTTGAGAGATGCTTTCTTTTAGTTTCACAGAGAAATATATCATCACCCCTTTATCTGTAAAATACTGACATCTATACATATATTACTGAGTTGTGACATTCACCTCAGGAATGTCAAACAGAAAAGGTAGCTGTTGAAATATTCTCCCTTTGTAGACTATTTGTTTAGCCATAATTTAGCAGCTGTAAACATGAAGCCTTCAAGATGTCATATTCTGATAAAATGTCCATTATTTAAAAATGTAAAAGTATGTTTTTTGGTGCCTTTCATGAACCTCAGTAGCAATAAACTATCTTACAAGTTTGTACAGCTAACTATGTTACTATTAGTGCTAGCATGTAGCCTTGCTCCAGGCCAAGCAGCTAATTGAAAAACGTCTTGAACATTAATGTTTGTTTATTATTTGTTCTTTTTGTTATGTTTTATTATTGTATTATTGTTTTTGTACATCTGAGATTAGCAGCTAGCAAAAATCTAAGTTAACAATATGTTGCAATCTTTTGAGTTAGTTACAGCTTCAATGAAACTCACCAGTATTACCTCACAAACTATAACATAACCATCTCACTTCAGTCAGATAATGAACTCTGAAGCAATGGTTTACAAATTATCAAGTCTCTGGATTAGAATAGCTCTACATTGCAATAGCACTCTTCAGTCTCACCATGTCGTCAGGATATCGACCTTTAGGCATGTACTTTGCTTCTGCCTCTTTTATCCTTATGTAACCATTAAATGCATAGTAGGAGCCCTTTTACATAGGTTACCATAAGTCTTCCAGAAGGTAAAGAAAGGGCTTCTGTTTTGTGAACTTAATGCAGGACCAGGTATTCAAAACCAAACGGATGAAAGTTGAATGTCAGGCAGGTACTGTTGGGATTAGCAAAGCCACCTAGATTTAGGGCAAATAATACATACTGGGTAACATTTAAATATTCGTCTGCCCTACGCTGCACCACAGTGGTTTTGAAATCATTAAAGTCAAATAAAATTAAGGTTTTGGAATTTTGATCTTATTCTTTGTCCATGACACTTCTGCTACATGTATCTGCTATGACAGCAGACATCTTGGAAATGCCACTGAGAGAACTGCTACTGTCAACCCATCAATAAAGAAAATGGACACAAGCTTGTTTGCTTGTTTCATGTGCATAATTGGGATTTGATGCCTGACTCTGGATCAAGGCTACATGTTTTTTTCCCGTCATAGCTTATTAGCTGCTGAAGCCTAGTTGGAAACCTTTTAAGGGCACAACATGAAGATTTTCATCTTGACAGAGGACCCTTGTTTTGTAGTATTTTATATGCATTTCTTTCAAAATAGTTTTTGCCATTTCTTTTAAATAAATTACAATCCTTTGTTTAAACGACAAAACATTTCGATTAGATCGTTGAATGCTTAATTTTTGGATTACTCCAATGTTGAAATACATTTAACAGAATTACACATAAAACCTTTCAAGTTTTACCATGGGAAGGATATGCTCTTCCTACTTCTTTTCTGCTTTATATCACTTAAATACAGTAGAGTGAAATACCTTAATGAGGTCTTTATAGTCTCTCTTATTCAACAATCAGACACTATGGGGTAAATTATTTTTGTTAAGTTTTTTTGTTTTTTTAAGAAATAACAAGTCTTAATATGATATGGCACAGGATTTTTGCCAAGTCTTAAGACGCAATGTTTTTGGAGAAATTATGACAGTTAAGGAGATAAAGGATCTCTTTACATTATTTCTCCTCTTTTCTACTGGATGTGGGGGATAGCCAAAAACCTTCTCACAAACAGAACTTAACCCCTGTTGGAATTCGGCATTTTTGTTAACCTAACCATTCATTATATTACATTAGATTAGAACAATTTACATTTGTCTGAGAGGGACAAGATGCATTGATTAACATTTTGAAAATAAAATAAGAAATGTATAATTGCACCTAAGTGCGCAATTGCAGCCAAATTGTAGCTCATTTCTATTAGCAGTCCCCCTGCCATTGGCATTCATATGGGATGATGATATATCTTGAAAGTTTTTCCTGGCCCGCTAGCACCATGTAACCAAGAAAAGGGTAAATTTGAAAGAAAGTTTAATTCTGGAACTTTCTTTTATCAGTGCATTAACAGCTAAGCCGTATGTACAACCAGCCATGTCTGTTCTACCCTTTCCCTCGTTAGAAATTCTTTGTATTGTGTTGCCTTGATGTCACATCACTCTAATTCTAAGTGTTAAGCACTTCAGTGTGTTGACCACTAAGTTCTCTTTAGTAACATGGGGTGCGGTGTGCCCAACACAAAGCAGCATGCTAGGAAACCTATAGAAGCACACATGCATGTCAAACAACTTGTGATTACATAACCAGCAGGTTGCCTGACGAAGAGCGGTAAATATGGGACAGCTCGACTGGACTGGACTGCACCAAACAGAACAAAAATAATTTCAAACTAAACTGGGTTGGGGGACAGAGATAGTTTTTTATGTGTTTTTTTTTTGTTTGTTTGGTTTTTTTTTTGGTTTGGTTGCGATTGAGAGCACTGAATGGAAGGAATGCAAGTGGGTATCGCTGAAACCTCTGGAACCAAGTGAAAAAAGCAAGAGGAATCCCATCAAGGTTGTAGCATATGCCCCTGGCCATTTTCTTCAGATTTCGAGGGTTGTTAAAATTGGCTGACACACATCACACAATTTCTTTATATAATGTCTTTCATGATACTTTACAACAGGTCATTTGTAAGACTTTCTTTCTTTCTTTCTTTCTTTCTTTCTTTCTTTCTTTCTTTCTTTCTTTCTTTCTTTCTTTCTTTCTTTCTTTCTTTCTTTCTTTCTTTCAACCTTCCATTTGTTTCTCCAGTGGACAGCACCAATATGGAGTATGGCTAAAAGTGCAGGGTAATTAACTAAAAACCATCCCCATGTAAAATGTGCCCTGGAGAGGTCAGTATTGCATTTTCCCTTTTATTCTGTAAAATGTAAACATCTCAAGTGAGAGCTCACTTCATGACTATTGATCTGTTCCAGAGGGACTCACATTTCACGCATTTTTAAGATTAGATCATCTATATCCAATATCTGGGGGAATTTGATAGGATGAACCCAAGTGTTGTTTCAAATGTACAGTACAGTATAAATCCATATGTGGATGGATTAATCTACCACAACACAATTATACTGAAAGAATTTTAAAGTCTGTAAAGAATGCAGACAAGATGACTTCAGCTCTATTGTGTTATGGAACTAATTAATCAATTGTCCGTGAATTTTAACAGAGGCGCTCACAGAGCAACATTCTGAGTGCACCAAGCTTAGGCAGGACTGTAATAATAACATTAAGAGAAGTTGAAAAGTTGGTGGCCATGTGCAAGAACATATAAAGTGAACTATATAAAGAGCACCAGTCAAAACCGTGGCCCAATTTTTGACCAGTCTCGTTTGTTTATAATGTTTGTCTAGAGTTCCTGGCTCAGTGTGGAGGATTTCAGACTGATTATTATGACAGATATCTCAAACTCACACCCTGTTAAGGTCACAACAAAACAAAAAGAACTCAGCTTGCCAGGATAAAGATACAGTCAAATATGATTGTATCTCTGCTTTTAAAAACTATTTTTAAATGATTCTCTGAGCATAGAAAACGTGATGTGAAATACCAACCAGTAACTTTATTACTGTTGAGATCCTTCTCAGACTAAATCATGTCGGCTTATGTGGTTGATGAATGGATAAGGTATCACTCCCTAATTGCAGATTTGTAATCATTTCTGTTATATTAAACCTGCTCCATAAGCCAACAGTTGCCTCCAGGAAAGTCACTGCAGGCCATTTTATTTAGAACCTGTTTGTGTTTAAGTGCATGAAGTGTGTAAAAAAACAGAATTTCTTCCCTTTGGACTACAAATAAACAATTTGGTTATTTATAAATCAGTAGAGATGCCAGACAACAGTACTGCTCAAAGGTAGTGCTACACTGCTTTACATAAGTCTTCCTGTACTATATCTTAAAACTTTCTACCCTTCCATTCTTTGACTCCCTCCACTCCATTTTATCGATCAAGGCCTATGAGGAGTTTGGTCTTCTCCTCTTCTTTCTTGCTCTCATTCTTCAGGTCTGCAAACACCTGGGTAAAGAAGTGTGGGTCGGTGTTGATCTGAAGCATCTTGCCACTCATACAGTTGATGATCTCCAGGCAGCGGTCCCAGAAGGCTTCCTTCTCTGCTTCAACCAGGAAGGGCTTCAGTGGGTAGGAGATCTCATTGCCCATGTAAGAGTAGGACAGGTAGAGACAGGTGAGAAGTGAGGCTTGCAGCTCGCGCTCTGAGGCCACCTCGGCCGAGACCACATCTCGGCAAAGCATATAGAGGAAGACCACGTTGGCTGGGGTAATGAAGCCCTGATCCTGCCAGCCTTGCAAGAGGAGGGAGCGGTCCACACTGCGCAGCCACAGCACTGGATCAGTTGGGGACAGACGCTTCAGTCTGTAACAACGGCGACACAGGAACTCCCCCAGGCTTCGCATTAATTCACTGGTAGAGGCCTTAGTTCAGAAAGGAAAGAAAATTGGATGAAAAGAACAACTGTTAGGGGAGAATTTGATTAATTAATTTGGAATGAGATGAGGATTTTTTTTTCCATGATTAGAAGAATTATATAGAGAGGGGTACCTGGACAATGACACGTTTTGGAGTGCCAGTGGAAGTGGGAGGCTGGATTCCATGACCTGACAGGGAATTCTTTTTGGCCATGACAGTAGCTACGTTTGTCAGGGTCTTGGAGGTGGGCATTTGAGAGGAGGTAGTGGTATTGGTAGTTGAGGGGTCATGGCTGGATGGAAAAGATGAGAGGTTAGCACAGGACTGAGACTTTTTCAGCTTCAAGCTGCTGGAAGCTGAGATAGTTGTGGTGGCTCCATGGCCATCTGGTGAGCTCCCCTTGCCACCATCTCCTCCCTCTGATTGAAGCTTTCTGGATCCCTTCCTTTTTGCCGACACTGCCACTATACGTTTCCATGGCAAAGCATTAATAATGGAGGGTCGTTTCAGGGACTTGGCTGCTGCTGCCACATCCTTGGCATTCTTGCTGTTCTGAACGGCTGTGTAATGGCCCACAGTAGCTGGACCATCCTCGAACAGAGCAGCCTTGCGGTAGCTGGGAGAAAGCGATAGCACGGTACCCATGATGGGTTGTGAAGGTCAACAGATTGTAGAAGGGAAGTAAAGATCTTTGACTAGTCAAGACAAAAGCCTCCAAAGTTAGCAGGAATTGTACCTAGGGAGAAAAGTAGTGAATATTAATCATCTACAATACATCAAATGTAAAATACCATCAACAAGTAACAGGAAATCAAACAAAACAAAAAGAACTTGCAATATCAATTTCAGTGAAAATCGTCATTCCTCTCAAGAAGCCTTTTCAAGAGTGTTTAAGTTTTGTGTCAGGATCTTCCTCTGCGGATGTTTCATGGTGACGCTAATATTTCTTGCTGTGATGATGAGCAAAATATATTGTATTAGACTGCCATGAAGTTGTGTGTAAACTGTCTTGTTTTAAAGATTTCATGGTTCATCCTCAACAAACAGAATTCTTCCTGCACAACTGATGCATCAGAAGCTGCATGAGAATAAGTTGAAGATGTCTTTTTAAAACACGGATTTGCTTTACACTTATGTCTTAAGTGATATTTTAAGGACAACATTTTTCTCTTGAAAAGATGTAGGATGTTGAGTTGTTTTTGGCAAAAACAAACCAAGTAAGGCTGCACCATAACGTTGATCTATAACGATCACTAAGATTTCCTCACAGTGGATGTAACAGATATTTCAAATGTATCCAAAGACACTGCCACAACTGAGAAAATGTAATCTCCTCAAAAACATCAAAAAGCCAGTAGAGTTGAGATTTATTTTTTATTTTTTAGAAAGCTCAGCAATCTTTTAATGAACTGGAGTTTAAATAATTTGATTGGATTGGATCATAACTGCATTGCATTATCTGAATTGTAGCTTTCAAGTACCTTGAGATTATATTTATTATGATTTGGTGCAATATAAGTAAAACAGAACAGAACTGAATAAAGTTTTAAATTAACTGCAGAGATTTTTTATCTAAAAAAGGTGTGGAAGAAAAACTGAATTCCTCATCTTTAGATAAGAAACAACTGTTGAATAATTTATTTATAATTATTGAAGGCAATATAAAGCCTATAGCCTACATTTTCTTCCGTGTTATCTCTGACTATTATGAATATTTCAGCCTAACAGAAAGATGGCATCCATTACAGAAACCACTGCTACATATGGAGGGACAGCCGTTCACTTGGCTCTTGCTCGGTGCTACCAGTGTTCATCAGGGTTATATAAGAACCAAGGCCACCGAGGCAGTAAAAAGAAATGTGCGCAAGCATCCATCTTAGCTTCAAAATGGAAGCCTTGAATCCACCCCCTCCCACCCAACACTAGTCAGTTTCAAAAACACCAGCAGAAGAGCTGCGCTGTAACACATGCGCAACCTCAGCATCCCAATCCACAATCCCCTGTGTTAAGTGAATTGATGGGATGACTTTTGGGTAACAGTGGTGCACTGATCTTGGATGCTTCAGTCTGTTGACTTCGTTCTTCAGGCCTTTAACGATGAGCTGTTTCATATTTCACCAGTTGCAAAAGTGATTATGGTTGCTACATGCAGCAGTCTGGCCTTTTTTCCTACCTTAATCCTCTCTTCTTGTAAAATCCATGTATCATGTCCTGGCCTCCTCCCCCCTCCCACCCCCTCGTTGACGGGAAAATGTTTTGAAAATGTACAGACGCCGTCTGTTCTCGGTGTCCAGAACTCCACGGGAGCTGTCCAGGCCCCGGGCGTGAAAACGGTTCAGTCCAGAATAATAACCTATATAATCCCCCTTTACCGCGTCACAGGCCGACAGGTTTTTCTGCAGGGTTGACTCCTGCTCTTTTCAACAATCCCTTCAGTAGCAGTCCTTCACTCCTTGATTGGAATAAAGATACAAAATAGAGGCGGATATATGCTTCAGTCCTTCGCTCGGAGCGAGTGGGGAAAATGTCTTCCATTGAGAAGCGGCAATCTAGACGGCCGTTGCTGTTGGTCTCCCGCTACGATGCGCACAGCACGGAGAAACCTCGTCCAGACATAAATAAAACAACAGGTATTAATCTAAAAAACCTAAGTAAACACAAAAGGACTGAAATAAAAAAGGGGGAGGGGAAAGCCACTATTGATTCTAAAAATAGATGGCCACTTATTCCCTCAACTATGCAAACCTGTCAGAGAGAGATAGACAGAGAGCTAAAGAGACCCGTTGCTTGGATGCGGGCATCTGCAGTTATTCGGGTTGGATGTAGGGGAGAATCGGCGCAGTCTGATTGGTTGCAGAAGAGATGCTGCTGCTGCTGCCGGTGGGTCCTGTCGCAGCCGAGTCTCTGCAGCCATTGGCCGGCAGAGGCTTCTAGCCTATCGGGAGGTTCTCTGTCCGAGGTGCTGAAAGAGGTCCAACAAGGGAGGCTGTCTGCTGACGATTAACGCAGCAGACTTTTCACTATAAGCTCCTACAACCAGAGCCCCACAAACACGTTTGTGTTTCCTTAATAATACAGAAAAGACGCTTTTCGCCGCCGAAAAATTTATATTTTCTCACAAACCCTCACATTTGATTCCTTTGATTCCCTTCTAAAAGCTCCAAATTTAGCAAACTGTCAAGGGTTCTACCTTTTTTCATATTTATTTTTGGATAATTGTTTTTTTTTTTTTTTTAAGTTGTAGCTGGTTTTACTGTGTTTTCGGTATAAACAAACCAAGTTAAAGTCTGCACCATGGTAATGTTTCTACCATAACTAATAGTCGATAATACGATTGTCAGAGATATATCCAAAGATTTTGTGCAGCTGCACCTTCCCGAAGCCTCTAAAAAAACAACATAGACTCTGAGATGAGATTTCCATTCATCCATCTATTTTCTATACCGGTGATTCCCAACGAAGTCGCGGGGTTGACAGGTTGCCAGTCTGTCGCAGTGAGTTGAGATTATTGTTTTGTTTTGTTCTTTCAGAAATCAATCGATCTAAATGTGTATCTCCATTTTTTAAGGTGCCTCTTTTGTTGGCTTTCTTAGCTAAACAATCTTTGTGTGAACCGTACTTTATTGGAATATACGGGAATTTAATTTTGAAATGCCTTCAAAGGCATACTCACTATTGTGATCCTTTTTCTATTTTCCATACATTTTTCTGCATCTTACTCCTTTCACACACTTCAACCAATTTAAAAACGTAATGTATCAAATTCTTTAGCTTTGTTGGAACATAGTTGCAATGCATTTTGGTGTACTTTTTAAATTATTTAATTTTTTATTACTTTTTTTCTCATTAAAAAATATTGGCAGAGCCTTCAAATCCTTCAAAAGGTTTGTCCACCTTCAGCTCTACCTACTTCAGATTACTTTGAGGTGTTAAACTTTTTAAATGGAGCTATATTCAAATGTCTCAGTTTTTAAACATATTCATAATTTTTAAAAATTAAAAAAAATGATTGTAATTTTCACTCATTTCTGAATTAAGAATGGATTCCCATGGGACGAAATGTTTTAGCATAAAGTGTAGGTTACAACTGACAGAGTGGATAAATGCAGTGAAAAATTTGAGAAAATACTTTTTTAATTGTCACTGTGTCTACAGTCTTGAACTCACAGAAATAGATTAAACATAAAACATGGAAATCTTATTGTGTTTCTCACCTGACTTTCATAGCATTCAGAGCTCTACTTTTTATACCAGAGGCTGCAAAGTAGGAGGGATGCCTTCCAACTGCCCAATAGAAAGCAACTCAACTCAGGAGAAATCTTGAGCAGCAAAGCTTGACATGTAATGTACGACTCAGAGGACCCAAAAACACCAGGAGGCAGACGGTCAGTTCGAACTGGTTTATTAAAGGGGCAAACCAGAGGGGGTGGTCAGGCAGGCAAGGTCGGCAACGGGGAGTCAGTCCAGGAACAATCCGAGAGGGGTAATCCAAAACGGGGTCCAGGGGCGAGCAGGGGTCGAGGCCGGGGAGACAGTCCAGAGGATCAGGCGGGAGCGCGGAGTCAGGCAGGCTGGGTCGGGGGCACGGGCAGGCAGGCCCTGAGTTAGACCAGGCAAACCTCAGGCGAAGCAGGAGAGACAGAAGAGGGGCAGGCAGGCTCGGAGTCGGGGACAAAACGGACGCAACAGGCAGGCAGGCAGGAACAACGCTGGAAGACTCGCACATTAGGTTAGAGGCGTTCTGGCCCAGGTGCATGGGTGAGTGGGGTTTAAGTACTGACCCGCACAGGTGCGACCAATGTCGCTGATTGAGGAAGTGAGTGAGCCGGTGGGCGGAGCCAGATCGTCACAGAGCCCCCCCCTCAAGGGCGGATCCCAGACGCCCCAGGTCGCTCCGGATGGACTTCAGGATCCGCCTCACGGTGACTGCAGGCGATCCGTCAATGAGCCGGGTGGGTGGTGGGGACGCGGAGGCGGGAACCAGACTGGAAACTTTGACAGGCTTCCGACGAGACTTCAGGATCCCCCTTACCGTGTAAGCCGGGGAGCCATCGACAAGACGGGCGGGTGGCGGGGACGCTGAGGCCAAACTGGACGCCCTGACAGGCTGGTCCTGCAGGCCAGGGATCCGCTGGCAGTCGGCAGCGCGGACCTGGTTCTGGGAGGCAAGGGGTAACTGATGTGGGGGAACAGCCAGTCTGGCATAACCCAGTCGGTATCCCCGTCCCCCTACTGAGCTTGGTCTCTTGACTGGACACGAGCGGACGACATGACCAGCTCCACCACAATAGAGGCAGAGCCCCTGCTGCCTCTTGCGCTGGCGCTCCTCCTTAGACAGGGTAGTCCTTCCTAGCTGCATAGGTTCCGGTTCCTCTGCCTCCTGAAGAAAAGAGGGAGTGACAGGGGGCACCGCGGGTACCCAAGGGGAGGGGACTGTGTGACACTCTCCTTGCCGCTCCTGGAGGCGGATATCCACCCGGGTGGCGAGCCGCCCCAGCTCCCTGAGGGACTTCGGATAATCCCGGGTAGCCAGCTCATCCTTTACTCTGGCGTTTAACCCGTGAATGAAAACGTCCATTAGTGCCCAATCATTCCACCGACTCTCTGCCGCGAGCAGGTGGAAATCAATAATATACTCTGACACCGTCTTCGCTCCCTGCCGGAGAGTCAAGAGACCCCGCGATGACTCTCGGCAGGGCAGCACCGGACTGAACACTCGGGTCAGTTCCTGGGCAAAATCAGGATACGAGTAGCAGACGGCAGTATCATTCTGCCACTCAGAGGCCCCCCAAAGTCTCGCCTTACCCTCCAGCAGTGAGATGACGTACGCCACCCTGGCTCGGTCCGTCGGGAAACAGGAGGGCTGCACCTCGAAGTTTATTTCACACTGAGTGAGAAAAGCCCGGCATTGCTCCGGATCTCCTCCGAAAGATCCGGGTGGAGCGAGGCGCGGCTCCGGTGGAGACCTCGACACCGGAGGCGACACGGGGGCAGGCGGAGAGGCTTGCGGGAGTGGAGCCGCAGGCGAGGCTAGATCACGGACATGATTGAGAATCTCCGTGACGCAGGCCTCAAGCTGCGCGATGGATTTCTCCACCCCCGCTCGCCACTGACCGTCGGGGTTTGGGTCCATGTTGGCCAGAACGTACTGTAATGTACGACTCAGAGGACCCAAAAACACCCGGAGGCAGACGGTCAGTTCGAACTGGTTTATTAAAGGGGCAAACCAGAGGGGGTGGTCAGGCAGGCAAGGTCGGCAACGGGGAGTCAGTCCAGGAACAATCCGAGAGGGGTAATCCAAAACGGGGTCCAGGGGCGAGCAGGGGTCGAGGCCGGGGAGACAGTCCAGAGGATCAGGCGGGAGCGCGGAGTCAGGCAGGCTGGGTCGGGGGCACGGGCAGGCAGGCCCTGAGTTAGACCAGGCAAACCTCAGGCGAAGCAGGAGAGACAGAAGAGGGGCAGGCAGGCTCGGAGTCGGGGACGAAACGGACGTAACAGGCAGGCAGGCAGGCAGGAACAACGCTGGAAGACTCGCACATTAGGTTAGAGGCGTTCTGGCCCAGGTGCATGGGTGAGTGGGGTTTAAGTACTGACCCGGACAGGTGCGACCAATGTCGCTGATTGAGGAAGTGAGTGAGCCGGTGGGCGGAGCCAGATCGTCACATGACAAGTCAGCTTTGTTAAGCTTGTTCTAATTTCTTCCATGTTTGTCTCAGAAAAACACAAAAATAGTTTTCTAATCAGCAAAGCTTTGTAGATGTAGAGGAGTTTTTCAACAAAGTTGAGAGAAGTTGAAGCTTTTTTAAAACAGCATTACAGAATATTCATAGCAGTATAACTGACGGAGAAAGAACAGAATATGTTGATCTCACAAACATGGTCACATGCATACAGGAAAATGGGATATTCAGGTAAAACATTGGACTAAATTGTGCTATTGGGTCCTCCTCTGTCTGCACTGACAGTATTTATGCTGATTAATTTAAACTTTAACCTTTTCATCACAATTCTTTGATCTTGTCTTTGAATGGTCTCCAGCTGACAGTTATGCTGAAATACAATTAAAAATTCACCAGAGGCGATACACTCAATACACATTGAATTAGAATTTGTAAAATCAAAATTTTAAAGCATTTTTCTTTTTTATTTAGGTAATTTTCCTTTTGCCACTCTTCTTCCACTCTCCAGGTAATCTTTTAAGGATCCTTCAGTTATTCAGTTTTTTATTAGATTACTTTTTCCACATATCGATGTGTTCTTCAGTTAATTGGTGCTAAGTTTTAACCTTTGTTTACTTTCTTGGGCATCCTCTGGCACATCTGTTCAGCCTCACAGCTCTTTTTAGTCGACTTTCAAGTCCCTTGAGACGACATTTATTATGATTTTGTGCAATATAAGTACAACAGAATTTGAATTAACAGACTTTCAAGTGAACTTAAGTGATTTTTCTTCATCTGAAGCGCGTTTTTTAGACTTTTCAGCTTTGTGTTTTTTTATAGTTTTGTATTGTATTTATTTTACCCTTTCAATTTCTAGTTGTTTTTGAAGATGTAATAATTCTTTTGGTTCTGTGTTTTGGAGTTGTCCATTTCCTGACTGTTTAGTCATCGTCATTTCTCCCTTTCCTTCGTTTTGGTCATCAGCTCCACTTCTTTCACTTGAGTAATTATCCTGAACTGCCACTGACCTTGTTCCTCAGTATTTAGACTGAAAAATTTCTTCCAGTTCTCTCCGGTTTCTCACCTTCCACAAACATGCGTGTTAGTTTCATTGGACACTCCAAATTACCCCTAGCAGTGACTATGAGTGTGTGTGGTTGTTTGTCTGTGTGTGGCCCTGTGATTGACTGGAAACCTGTCCAGGGTCTACCCACCTCTTGCCTGTTGTCAGCTGGGATAGCCTTCAGCCCCACAGCGACCCCATTGGGAATAACAAAAATAGAAAATGGATGGATGAATTTTCTTTCAGTCTTTAGCAGATCCTTACAGATGTCACAGATCTTTAGAGATGTTTGTTGTTCCTCGTATCACCCGTGTTCATGTTTTTCTATTGTGTTTTTTGTTACTTTGTGGGATTTTGTGTGTAAAGTTAAGATTCAGGTATTTAAGCTTGGTCGTGCATTTTGTTTTACTTTGTGAATAAATCAACATTAAGTTCACTTCCACCTCCTATTACCTTCCAAATCTTTCTCTTTTGGAATCCACCAAACACAATGACCGGAAACCAGTCGGCTAATTGCCTCAGGTACCACACAGATTTCTCCATCAATAATGATGTCAAATTATAATCGTATCAATACCCATTTTATTTTTTTAGATTCATTTAAAATGTTTATAACATTTTTACTCAGATTTTAGCAGGATGGGGAGTTGAAGATTTTTAATGTTAATGTGTGTACTTTGACTTTACATGTAGAGTAAAACACAAGAGATTTTTTTTTCTTAATTTCCAGGAAATATTCATTCAGATGTTTATATAATACACCTTTTATTTACTTGTTAGAGTAGGATAGGAACACTTAAATTCATAACCAGCTCAGTTAATCATCTGTCCGTTTTCTATGCCCAGTTCAGTGTCATTGAGGGCTGAAGCCTCTACCAGCTGTTACCGTGGAGAGGGGTACCCCCAGAACAGTTCAGTAGTCCCTCACGGGGTAGAATATTGATTACTGATATATTTTAGTTGGTTGGACCAAGTCAAGAATACCTGACTGATTTCATTTCAGCTTCAACATGTAGTTTTGTATCAATCTCAAATTCGTCCAGTTAGTTTTGATTATTGAAAAATAAATGCTTCTTTTCTCTCTTTTCCCTCTTTCTTGAAAGCAGCTAAAAGCACATGTTAATAACTCTGGATTTGTTTATTCCTATGGCATATAGCTTTTTTTGGTTTTAAAATGCTTTGTGCATAAAATTACCTCTGTATTGACAAGTTTACAATATGGGTCTCTAAAAATCCCAGTATAGCTAAACAATGTCAGTGAGTGAACACGTGTGCTAGACCTCTAATAAAGTCCTGTAATGTTTCATATGAAGAATTCAACTGTTTTCTTCAGTGAAGGGAAACAAAAGGCACTGCAACACCTGAACACAAATTCATAACATACAAACATAGACCCTAAAAAAGTTTTGCTGAGCAGAGAACAGGCAGCACGGCAAGTGATAATGTGGTAATGACAATGATCTTACAGAGGCATAGGAAGACCAGTGAGCCTAAATACAAATGATTGAGTGGTAGCAGCTGAGGATCATAAGCATGGGTGAAGTCCAAAAGTGATGACCAAATCAGGAGGAAACTAAGGAAACTAGGAAATATTAAACAGGATCTAGACACAAACAAAGAACCTGCAGGACAAGGAGTATGAATGATCAACTACACTAGAAAGTCACAGATAGATAGATAGATAGATAGATAGATAGATAGATAGATAGATAGA